TAGATAAAAGAGACAACGACCGAAATGAGTTCAAACAGAAAGAACCTGGGAACCCGGGGTCATGTCAAGATCCAAGCTATAGAACCTTACAAAAGTGTGCGGAGAGGACCAGCCTGCCGCAACACAAATATCCTCCAAAAGTGCTCCTCTGAAAAGAGCTTGAGAAGATGCTACACTTCTGGTGGAATGTGCTTTAATGCTAAGAGGTGAAGGCAAGCCACGCACCCCGTAAGCCAACGAGATAGCCTCTGTGACCCAGTGAGAAATCCTCTGCTTTGATGCAGCAAGCCCACGGCGGCTAGCACCGAAGCAAACCAGAAGCTGGTTAGATTTCCTCCAACCGCCTGAGCGGTCTACATATATCTTAAGAGAACGAACTGGGCAGAGCAAGTTAAGCTTCCTATCTTCCTCAGACGAAAATGCAGGAGGGTGTGAAGCGTTAAGGTTAACTACCTGTGAGCGGAAAGTTGAGGAAAGAACCTTGGGGACATACCCTGGTCTCGGCCTCAAGGCAACTTTGACCAGGCCAGGGGCAAAGTCCAAGCAAGACTCGCTAACAGAAAGAGCTTGTAAGTCTCCCACCCGCTTTAATGAGGACAAAGCTAACAAAAGAGAAACCTTGAGAGTCAGAATCCTCTCCGGAGCTGACTCCAAGGGCTCAAAGGGGGCTTTCGTCAAACCCTCTAAGACAACAGAAAGATCCCATGGGGGAACTCTAGGGGAGCGAGCCGGTTTCAGGCGCTTCACCCCACGCATGAAGGCAGAAACTAACCTTAATTTGCCCAGGGGAATCTCATCCGATTCCCTATGCGCTGCAATAGCCGCAACATAAACTCAGAGTGGTAGCGGCTGCTCCAGCAGCAAACTTCTCCTGCAGGAATTCCAGTACTGAACCAGCAGGGCAGTTAACTGGGCTCCTATCATGTGCTAAGCACCAAGTCTCAAACACCCTCCATTTGGAAGAATATAATCTCCTTGTAGAAGGGGCTCTAGCACTCGCAATGGTCTCCTGAACGTCAGTTGGGAGACCAGAGCTTAATGCCGACGGCCTCTGATCGGCCAAACATACAGCTTCCACATGTCTGGGCGAGGATGCCATATCCTGCCCTGTAGCTGGGACAGAAGATCTTCCCTGACCGGGATCCTCCAGGGGGAAGATTCCAGTAGAGGAATTAGCTCCGAAAACCATGGCTGAGATGGCCAGAACGGAGCTACCAGGTGGAGGCGGACTCCGCTCTCTCTCACTCTGGCCAAGACCGCCTGGATCAGTTTGATGGGCGGGAAGGCATAGAGTTTCTGCGTTGGCCAAGGGTGAGCGAACGCATCTATCCCCAATGGGGCCGGGGGACTCAGGGAGAACCAAAGCGGGCATTGGGACGACTCTTGAGATGCAAAGAGGTCCACCTCCGCCTCTCCAAAAACCTCCCAGATCAGGGCCATCGTCTGGCGGTTCAACATCCATTCCCCCGATCTGAGTTTCTGTCTCGACAGAAAATCTGCCGCGAGGTTCAGAACCCCTGGGACATATACCGCTCTTAGAGATAGGAATCTGCTCTGAGACCACAGGAGTGCCTTCGAGGATGCGGCCGGTAGTTATAGAGAGTGTGGGGGGTGAGGGGAGAAAGCAGAAAGCGTCTCCTTCCTCCCGCACCAGACTGAGTAGAGAAGGTGAAATATGACCTGCACTTCGAGACACTCTGAGTGGCGAAGGTGACAGGGCAAGGAAAGGAGAGCTGGGAGGTGGGCAGAAACGCTTGTGCGGTCTGACCCAACCTTGAGGAAGCAGAGGAGCTCTCCTTTTTCTGACCGGAAGGTCAGGAACGGCTCTGGGCCGCCGGAGCAGTCGATTTGTCGGACCGCCTCAACTGGAGGCGCTTGTGAGGCCGTTGACGGGGAAACGGGCGACCGCGGGCTCCCCAAACCGTGGTAGGTGGGAGATGCCCTGGTTCGCTTCTTCTGGAAGAGAAATCCGGTCTATGAGAGGGACGTTCTCTAGGTCGCACCGGGGCGGGAGCAGAAGGTTCCCTAGCCCTCCTGGGCATGAACTGTCTGAACGCGGCCGATTGGGATTTGGAGGAGCGGAATTTCTCAACCACTGTGTTGACCGCCTCACCAAACAACCCCGTTTGAGAAATGGGGGCGTCCAAGAGGAAAACCTTCTCTTTGTCACGGATCTCCGTGAGATTAAGCCACAAGTGGCGCTCCACCGCAACAGAACCAGCCATAGAGCGACCTATAGCGCGTGCGGTATGCTTGGTGGCTCTTAAGGCTAAATCCGTAGCCTTACGAAGCTCCTTGACCGCTTCAGGAGTCACGCCGTCGCCCTCGTCCATTTCCTTCAGGACGTCCGCCTGGTAGGCCTGGAGAATGGCCATAGTGTGCAGGGTCATGCCTGCCTGCCCAGCCGCCATGTAGGATTTCCCAATGAGAGAGGAAGTAGTCCTACATGCTTTAGAAGGGAGGAGGGGGCGCGACTTCCAGGACGGCGCAGACGACGGAGCAAGATGGTCGGCTAAAGTTTCCTCAATCGCCGGAATGGCTGAATAGCCCTGTTCCACAGAGCCTACCAGGTTGGTGAAATCAGCAGCAGCCGCATTAGTGAGGCGCGAAGAGAAAGGCTGCTTCCAGGATCTGGAGATCTCATGATGCAGATCACTGAAAAATGGCAGCTTCCTCCGTTGAGGCCTAGAATTAGGGCCACTGAGAAGCCTTTCGTCGAGTTTCGACGACTGAGACTCACGTGGCTCGTCGGGCCAATCAATAGTGAGCTTCTCCGTAGCGCGCGAAAGCACGTCAACGAGCTCCGCATAGGCCGCAGTAGGCCGCGCTTCCTGGCCGCTCGGCGGGATAACCTCGTCGGCGAGAGTAGGCCCGAAATCCTCGGAGTCGGAAGCCTCGGTAAAAAGTATATCCTCCAGCCCGAAAGAAACCGCGTCGCGTGCTCCCGGGCTGGGGCGCAAATAATCGTGTGAAAATTCGACTGGCATGCCTCGCGCGTGCCGAGGGGAGGTAGGGAGAGAAAGAGCGGGGCTCGTCTGCTCGAACTCCACATCCTCAAGCTCTACATCCGAACCCCATGTCGCGGATCCTCGAGAGGCCTCGGGAGCGCGACAGGGGGAGACGAATGATTCCCTCTCAAAGACCGCGAGCCGCGATTTGAGGGTTTTGAGCAACAAATTTTCACAGAATTTGCATTTAGACGATCCTATAACTGCCTCACGTGCATGTGAAAAACCCAAACACTTAACGCACTTACTGTGTGGGTCGTCGTTAGCGATGTAACGAGCACATGGCGGAGTACAGCGTCTGTAATCCATGGCAACTTCACCGTAAGGAGAAACAGAGTTCCGCTTGAACAGTCGCAGAAGCGCCGAGAATAATCCAGATGTATTTGTAGCTCAGAAAAATCACGAGCGAAGGGCAACGTGACCGCTTCGCTCTGAAGGTAGAGAAATCTGAGGAGCAGATGGCGCGCGCGCGAATATGTAATGATGCGACGTAAGAGCGTCGGGGCGGAGCCATATCGCGCGGACGCCATCAGCCAATGAATTGGCGTGATTCTATAAGGCTTCAGACAATCGGCACATTCAGAGAATATCCCACTGCGCTTTCCGCAGCGTTGAGTGAACCTATGAAAGAGAACAGGCTGTGTCTGTGTGAGTCAGAAGCGCCAGACTTTACTTGACTCTACAAAGATAGAATTGCCCCACTTTTTAGAATCAGCCTTGTAAGTTCTCCCAGGTTCTGGAAACAGTCCTCTGAAAAATGCGCAGCACAGTCAAATATTTTGGTTGTAGCCTACTGTTCTGGAACAGTGTAGTAAATAAAACTTAACCGCTGTTTATAATTGTGTCCTCTTTTGGAAGGACAAACAAAATAGTTTGGCTTTCGCAACGAAAAACACAGCGTCTCCACGACATGGCGGCGCCGGCGGCACCAATAATACTGCGAGAATAAAAGTTACGCCTTCTTTCTTTGCATACTCTGCAGATCTTATACAGCAACATAACACAATGTTCCTTAAAGAAAAAGGAAAACAAGAAATCGCACCATATGACCCCTTTAACTCTTACCCCACCAGCGGTTTTTAAAAAAGGTTGCAAGCCAACGCCAGCAAAAATGTAATTGCCCCCTGAATATTTTTGTTTTATGAATATCTGAAATTGCAATATATAATGGACATTTCCGTCAATGGCGGGAAAGAGTTAAGAATTATTAGCCTTTGCTGCTTCAAGGAATTGAATTGAATCAAATCTTTTAATTGTCACTTAAAAATCAACAAATGGTACGGTACAAAACAAACACACTGAAATAAAAGAAAAATACAGGTACATCATAGGGGGACAGTGTTACACTTTATAATTTTGCACCTTGTCAAATCTTCACTCAAATCTTGAAAGCAAGTCTTCATTCAAAAGTGGTGGCCTTTTTTTTACATTATTTAAAATAAAAAATGTATACATAATATATGATGGTTCTACAGCATATATACTCACATATAAAATAATGACACTGGCATTTCAAATTTACAATAATATAAGATATAGTGTTGCCAGGGACCAGCCTGTTGAACAAATGTGGAGGATGACTCTGCTACCAGGTGCACACATAAACAGTACGTTGCAGTCACAGAATCCAACACAGTCTTTCTGTTTTTATCTTTTTTTTTTTTTTACTTTTTTCATCAGCATATTCTTGTATTTCTAAATTATTAACAATTAGAGATGCATAACTTGCTGAGGGTATGTCTTAAAATAAAATGTGGCTAAATACATTTTGAAATAAAGCCTTTCTCTAATGAAACTGGTGCCACTTTGGAATTGCATACATTAAAAGTAGATGATATGCAGGAGACCATAAAAAAAAGTGGTTAAGTAGGAAAATAATGTGCAGACACTATTTAAAAGATTGCATTAAAGTGCATTTTCTCTTTGTTTTAAGTCCTTGTCACTCCACAAATAACGAAAGAAATCTTTGGATCTTGATTCCCCCCCCCCCCCCCCATGGTTTTCATGGTAAGTGCAGTGAAAAGCCCTATTCACACATTCTATAGTTCTCTGCAGCCTTCAGTCAGAAATGTTCCCTATTAAACTATTGTATATATTAACAGGTTGGTGATATCATGTACAACACAGTGAGACCATTCATCTCAGACAGTAAAGTAACAATTCAAGTGATCAAGATCTACAAAAAAAGCATCTGTGTCCAGTAAACAATCTACTAAATATACTATTAGCAAACAATTTCTGCTATTAATTCAAGCCTCAAAAATGAGGCAGTCATCATAAGCATCTAAGAAAAAATAATACACCCTCTCAAAAATAACAGGGTTTGTGAGTAAAGTATAAAAATATATATCATTGATATATCAAAGAAAAAGGCACCATGAGAAGTCCCCTGGCAAAATGTCAGTCTAATCACCAGGTAAGAAAAGGAAGACAAGCTTCTACGTCCAACAGAATGTTAAGGCGAAGTTCAGTTTTAGACCTTGGAAATATTGTTCAAGCCACAGAGGCTACTTTGTCACAATCAAGAGTGTGATTTTGTTGTGAAATTTTGACGTCCTTTTCCGGAGGAGAATCTCCCTCCTCCGTCGTCCTGTTCCAGCAAGGCAGGGTGGCCAAAAACAGAAACAAACCAGACACTAAAACACAAGTGCCACTGAAGTAGAACGCCAGGTCATATGACTGAGTCCAGTCGAAGAACCAACCTATAAGAAAAGAAAATGGAGACAACATCAGTAAAAGAGCAGGGTTGTTTGAAAGCGCCCTGTTGTGAGATATCACTCCATTTGTTGAGCCAACAAGGGAAATATATTTATATAAAGCTATTTTTTTTTATTCTTGAAAGCATTTGTCTTTATTTTGAACTGCACTGGAGTTGATAAGATTATTCTTCTTACCTACAACAGGCGGCCCAAGAGTGATTCCAAACCCTCCGAAGCACATGAGAATGCCATGAGCGTGACTGAGTCGTTCCATGCCCACTATCTTGGTAGTGATGTAGGATGTGATAGACCAATTTCCTGAGAAAAATCCAACCATGGCCGACAGAACTTGCAGACCCAGGTAGCTCTTAAAAACTGGGATGAGCAGCAGAGTCAAACCTGTGCCTGTCAGCGTCAGGGCGTACAGGTACAGGCTGTTCACCCATTGCATGTCTGCCAGCACACCCAAGACCAGCTTACCGATGCCTGTTGTCAATGCAACGATTGAGACGAGGGGTATTAGTGCAATCCCATCAATAAGCCCCTCGCTCTGAGCTACGTCCTCCATGAAGAGAACAGGTGGGAATGCCCCTAAGCTGAACAAGAAGATGGCGATGCAGAAAGCCATGAAGACACGGTCCTGTAGGAGCTCTATAGTCTTGCACAGGTACCGTCTATAGGGGCGCATCCGCTTCTTAATGGCTCGTGCTACTGTTGAACAGGACAATATCCCGCCATTTCTTTCCCCTTCACTCTCTTGCAGCTCTGTGGGTTCCATGGTGATCAACAGCTTCATGGCGGCTATGTTATTGGCTGAGCCGGGTGTGGTTTTCAGATCCAGGAAAGAGTCAATGATAATGGCAGTAGGTTTGGTGTAGAGTGGTTCTGGTTCCTCTGTATGCTGTAGAGCAGCTCTCTGTTTTAAGTAGTAACCAGGTAAGTTCATAGGTCGCATTGGCCCAGCACATGCCATCAGGTTGAGCGCCAGTGCTCCAATGATAAGCAGGCAACCCTCCAATCCAAACAACTCAATGAGCTCATTCTGGACTGTGGCGTAAATGAACCCACCCGCACTTGTACCTGAGAAAGATGAAAAGAATCATTATATGTTCCATTGTGAAAAATCATTTTAAGGAACATAAACATACAGAATCTATCTATCTTTTTTTTCTTTTCTTTTTTTGCTATCTGCTCCACATCTAATGAAAGTTCAATAACCTAAATAAATAATGATTTTTTTTTCACTAAATTTGCCAAAGCAAAAAATACTTATGACAGGTAATCAATACAAACTAAGGTATGATGTATCAATATATATCATAATATAAAGGTTCTTGAGGATGTCCTCCCTACTATAGTTTTCCCTCGTCAAATAGGGTTTATAAGTACCATATTGCCAACCCTTTTTCTATTTCTGCCATTTACTTAATGTTAGAGTGGAGTGGGAGTTCCTTGTCTTATTTTTGGAAAAAATTGGATTTGGCACCATCTTTTTTTTTCTTGGATTAAATTACACTCAGCAGGGGTGTCCTTTAAGCCCAACTTTATATGCAGACGATCTATTGCTTTTTATTTCTAATCCTCAGACTTCTTTGCACACTGCCCTGTGCTTGCTAGAGAATTTTGGTCAATTTTATGGTTATGCTTAATCTGCGCAAGAATGATTTTTTTTCTCGTCCAATTAACAAGGTAGCTAAGCAATTACAGTATTAAAATATACCATGTACATTCACAAATGTACATTCACCTAGCTTGGGATCTGTATTAGACGCCATCATAAGTCTTTTTTTAAACAGTTTTGGTAAACTTCTCCAACAGATTAAAAAATATCTTTCCAGGTTGTCCCCTCTAAAAATTTTGTATTGAAATTGAAATTTAATTTTAATCTTAAAAAGATGGTATTGCTCCCTAAATTCCTTTACCTTTTTCAGTGCTTACCTTAATTAAAAACATTCATTTCTAGTTATATTTGGACTGGTAAGCATCCCTGTCTGTGTAAAGCATTGCTTCGGAGGTCCAGATGCAGCGGCGGTATGGCCCTACCGAACTTTAAGTTTTACTACTGGGCAGCCAACATACGAAACAATGTATTGGTGGAACTACCACTTCTTGCCTAATAAAGATCATAGATCTAGATCATCCTGGTTGGATATGGAAATTCGTGCTGATAAGCAAATCTCCCTAGCTAGACTACAACTAATTTCCCATATTCCTGCTGATTGCCCAGAATGAAACACTCGTTGAGGATTTGGAGCCAGTTGAGACAATCATTTGGCTTTCAGGATTTCTCTCTTTTTAGCGGACCAACTCTTAATTGATCCATCCTGCATCGAGATCGAGGGCGAAAAAAGTGATTACGAGCTCGTAATCACTTTTTTCGCCCTCGATCTCGATGCAGGATGGATCAATTAAGAGTTGGTCTGACAAAGGGATAAAATGTTTCAAAGACTTATTTATTGACAATTAGTTTTCTCCCTTTGAACAGGGGATTGTTGAATCTGATTTGTATTGAAAAACAAATAAATAAATAAAACTTTGCGAGAGAAAATATCATAACACATTCTATTCCATAGAGTGAAGTTACATTGAAAGAGAGAATTTAAAGGCCACACCTGTGGTAACAATGCCCAGGGCTAGGCCACGCCTCTTGTCAAAGTACTGGCAGGTTATGGTCAATGTGGCAGCATAGACAAGTCCGCAGCCCATGCCTTAAACACAGAAACACCAATGTAACATTTCACAACTTTATTTACACATTTGCCGTTTCTGTTTCACATTTCTCTGTAACTATACATTTAATGTCAATCTCAAAAACCATAAATTATGCATATACACACACAAACACAAACTAAAGGCCTTGTCAGCAATTATCTCCAGTGAGGATAGGCTAGGGTGTAGGTAATGATGGAGTTGACGAGTCAGTCAATAGTGCTAAATTTTATATAATTTCCTATATTATGTACTTCTGATTGAGGGGACAAAAGAGGTGAATATACCTAAACAACAGGATGAAAACACTCGTGTGACTGATTGGTTGATTGATAGATTGACTGGTGTATGTAAAGTAACTCCACTGAACTGAATATGCAATGGTATTTGTGGGTAATACATTTCTGTGTGTGTGTGTGTGTGTGTGTGTGTGTGTGTGTGTGTGTGTGTGTGTGTGTGTGTGTGTGTGTGTGTGTGTGTGTGTGTGTGTGTGTGTGTGTGTGTGTGTGTGTGTGTGTGTGTGTGTGTGTGTGTGTGTGTGTGTGTGTGTGTGTGTGTGTTCAGAGGAGGGGTTGGCACCGTAAACAGTGAAGGTAACATGGTTTTAAATTATAAACTGTCAGTGAATAACAATTAAAAGCAACCCTGTCACAAACATTCTAACATATTCATCTGAAATATGCAAACTATTTAGCACTTACTGACAATCATGCACACAAACACATACTATCACTCTCTACTAATGCAGGGCATTCACACATAGATTCACATGTTCATACAAGATATTCATGAAGCTTTGAGTCTGCTCAATAAACAGACTCAAACAAACACATCTGTTTCTAAATACCAGCAAAGTGCTATTTAATGAACACTAATGATGCTGTTATTTTCTTACCGACGACAATGCCGTAGGAGAAAATGAGGAAAGAGACGCTCGGAGCAAAAGCGCTCAGCATCAGACCACCGGCCACCATCACACCGCTGAAGACAGTAACGGGCCGTGCACCGAAATTATCCACACAGACACTGCACACCGGGCCTACAAAGAGAGACACAGGAACAGCATCTTACTGAATGCAAACGACACAGAAGAATCTGATTAAGGATCTAGAAGAAAAATAATGCACACCACAATTTGGACAATTTACCAAACAATAAAAAACCCATTGGAGCTAGGCTGCTGTGTTGTAGCAGCACAGCACTGAAATGCCTTCGTCCTTCCACGTAGACTTATGTACAATTTTATATTTTTTGTTGCATATTATTTTCACTTTTAGTCTTTTCATTTGATCTTGAATTATTGCATGTAGTTTTTTTTTTTACCACGCAGTTATTTTAATAATGCACTATTTTCAGTGTGTCAGATAAGGCACCACAAATGCACATTATTTGTCTTGCCAATAAAAGCTAAACCTGAAAACTAAATGATTGGTACCATGTTATAAGACCCCTCACAAAACAAACAGCCCTTCTGTTCTATTAAGGTGTAAAGGGGACCCTCATTCCAACTGTCTTAACATATACTAAAATAGACACTGTCAAACTTCAGTGATGAAGAGAACATGTTTGTCTATCTATGATTAGAAATAACAAATTACTCAGTAGTGAGTTGCTCCTAATATGGCCAAAATGCCTGGACTCGGAAGAGCATCTGGTGAAAACAGTGTGTGTTTGTGCCATCCAGACTAAATAATTTCCCCGTTTTTATTTTGATGGCTCATTAAGTTCTTTACTGTCTGGTATGGGATACTTTATATCCCCTAACATCACTGCCAAATGCCCTCAACCACATTTAAGATTACTCAACACCAGCCATTACTCAACACTCATTTCAGACAAAGTAGAGCTCTACATACTGACCAGCATTATCAGTATGAATGGACAACTCTAAAGCCGAATCAGAACCTTCTAACCCATAATAACCAATATTCTATCAAACATAATGCGAAACTAAACTATATAATAGCCAATAGAACCAGTGGAGATGCCAACTATCTGCTCTGTTTTCTCCATAGCTCTATCCCAGAGTATGTCTAATCAGGAATTATTCAGATACTGATGTGTACTGATGGGATGTGTGTGTTTCACAGGCCAGAAACAACTCTACTTTTCTGAATCAGCATGACCAGGGCACACAACAACATGCCCATGCTCTCAAATACACACCCATGTCCCTGCCAGTTCTGTCCAGTCATGATTCATGACTTTCCTTGTCATGACGATAGACTACACAGCTATGCCTGTAAACAAAACCTGACACCTCCAAAACACGCACAGACACATTTACACACGCGCATTCTGCCTGTGTGAACTTTTACTGTAGCTCATGAAAGTTGAGAGAGGGCTGCCTTTCTTGTCTTCAGAAACACACTGTTATTTCCTTTCTCTTTGCGTTATAAGAGAGCTGTTAGTATTCCCATTAATCTCAGTCATCGCAAACTTTTCATTAACGGTTAAAGAAATGTATATGTTGCCTGCAAAACAAAGGGAAAAGAATGGTCATAATTGACAGCACATCTTAAAAGGCATAATTTGATAATCAGATTATGGCATTTTCCACCAGGGGCTAACTTGCATGCTAACCAGCCAAACCTAGACTCCTTGACCATATTTCTAAGTAAAGTTTAGGAAGTGTTATTCAGGACTCATTGTCAATTTGACCCCTGCAACACAGACAGTAATGAATGACTGTAAAGAACTGCACTGTAAACAAGTAGACAATTACTCTATCTGTCAGCGTGTCTTCTCATGGAACAAGGCATTAAAGAACTGAGTCAGCAGCATACTATGTAAATAAAGAGCAGTGCTGTATGTTTTAGTGTGTGATTTCTATGTCCGATTATACAAGAAACAGGTTTGATATTAGAAAAGAGCTGTATAGTTTATCTCATTCACCTAGTTTTCTACTAAAAATAGGCAAAGACAAAATGTAGGAAAAAAAAAAAAAAAAATTTGCTAATAAGGTAAGGAAAAATTAAAGTAAAACTTACATTACACAATTTGGCTTGCAAAGTTGTTGTTGTTGTTGTTGTTGTTGTTTTTTTATGTTGGAAACCCATTTGTCAGCATGTGTGATCATGTGAATTACATAACCATAAGGGACTTTCTGTTTGCACGTGCTGCTTTTTATTAGGAAACCTGTACACTTTCTGTATCTCCCTCTCTCACACACACACACACACACACACACTGGTTTCCATATTTTATGGGGCCTTTCCATAGACATAATGCTTTTTAGACTGTACAAACTGTATAGTCTATCCCCTAACCCTACCCATCATAGAAAAATTTCCACATTTTTACATTAAAAAAATGGTTTATAAGCTGTTTTCCTCATGGGGACCAACAAAAATGTCCCAAAAAAATTGGTATTACTATCCTTGTGGGGAGATTTGGTTGGTCCCCATAACGTAAGGAATACCAGGTACACACACACAAGAGAGAAATGATCATTACTCACTGGTGATGAGCGCCATACCAGACACCATGGATCCGACCCAAGCCGTCATGCCTTTTCCTTCCTGGAAGGCACTGAGCCACTCTGGGTACAACACCCCAACGGACTGGGGGGATCCTGATGATAGGAACTGGGCCATGAAGGAGGCCACCACAATAATCCATCCCCATCCACCATCTAAAGCACCCTCAGCCTTTACAGCACCCATTCTCAGCACTGATCTTATGCTGACTTCACTTGACACAGGGGTCTGCAAAAAGAAAGGGTGAAACATGATAATAGGAAGCTCACACAACAAGCAGTGACAGCAGTGTGACATGCCATCATTTATGCGAAACTAATTTAAATATCATTCTTGCAGGAATGCTGTATGTAATTATATTTAATTAGCAATACTCTATTTAATCTTGACACACAAATAACTATTTAAGTTTAACTTTATATAAAAAGCTACAATGTGATTAAAATGAGTGAAATTTTTAAATGTTAAATGGCAAGTTACTGCACCTATAATGTTCACTTTTGCATCAAATCATGATTGTTCCCGTGGGTGTTATTTGTTAACTCACACAAGATGTGAAATAGCTGTGGCACTTACGACAGGTGGAGGATGTTGCTCTTGCTTGCCGAGAGCGGTGTGCTGAACCGCTCGTGCCTGGTAGACCAGGCCAGTCTCACGTACCTCTCTGCTGAATACCTTCTCGAGATCAGCAACGCGCGCCGCCTAGTTTTAAACGCTTCTGGACACAGGCCACACCTCGAATGTGGAGGGACCACTGAGCGGGCTGCCTTCTTATCGCCCTGTTTTCTTTTATTTACGTCCATAACATAGATGACATACCGCAGTCGCGAGGAGAACTGGTGTCGTTTGGAGCGCGCGGATGCATCTTCCTCTTCAGCGCGCGCAGAACGGTGCAACGGAAGCGAGCTGAAGTTTTTCATTTTCTCAACATGCGCTCTTCTATCCTGTAAAATAAAGAACCGGTTTGAAGCTGTTTTCACCGGTCAGACTTGTGAAATCAAATGGATCAACTGTGCGATCAACTGGAAAGAAGAGCGATTGCGTCCGTCTCTGTTGCTTTTGCATTCTATTAGTATTTTATTGCGTCCTAGGAAAACTGTTACTTTAAAATGCTGGTATAATAATTATTATGCAAATAAATATTTAAAAATGTAAAATAAAAATTTAATAGAAAATCATAATAAATCATAATTATTTATTAATATAGCATAGCATCAAAATTATTAAACTACGTTTTCTATGCTGAAAGTGAAACATCAGCTCCTTATTGTTTATGAACTAGGCTATACAACTGAGACTCTGTGGACATATGACATACAGTTCACATACATATTCTGCAATTTTCATAAGACAAACAAACTTATAGGCTATAGCCTATAAGGACACATTTTTGAGTAACGTTAGGCCTAGGCTAAATCTTTGGACATTTGAAATCAAGGTTATGTCTAATAAACAAATTAATGTCTAAATGTTTTTTTATTATTATTATTATTATTATTATTCAGGTTATGCATCTCTGAAGTGATGTGCAAATTTTAAAATAAAAATCCCAATACCTGCACCCATGGGTCAAGGATAGTCTGTCTACATACGTGACTTTCAGGTTTCCATGGTAATCATTCACTCGTGCATTAGCCCATGCTCGCACCCGCGCCGAATCCATCAGTATCAGTTCAAAACGGCAAAAACTCTTCACTCGTTTTTCACGAAAACGTCAAGCACTGTAAGTTAGTTGTCATGTGGTATCCGAATTGTGTTGCACAATGATGAATAACTCTGCCTATTTCTCTTGTTGAATTAAGAAGTTTTGTTGTAAATTGAAAATATTCACTACCCGCAAAAACGTCCACTAATACTATTTTCAATCTTTTTTTATTCGTAATGTCTTTTATTTTCACAGATATGTTATCAAAGCCCTTCAAATTAGAATAAACATGGTGATTGTTAATGCTGAATTTGTATTTTCATGCAATAACAGCCACGATCTGCTTGAATCAGGCAGCGTTGTAACATTTACATGATGTTTACCATAATTCGGTAACACTTTACATTAACACCAGAACATAATTGCAGGGGAGAATGGGGACGGTTGCAACACTTTTTGCATTTCTCTCAGTTACTCAGAGACTATTTGGACAAGACCAACCAAATTTGGATTAAACATGCATCTGTCTGCTAATTACCCATACCATTTAAAGATGATTACATATGACATATCGTTCACAGTATTTATTTGAATGGAAGAATCCAGATGTTGCAACTGACCCCAACCCAGGGGACAGTTGTAACACAATCAGGGACGTTTGCAACATGTTAAAAAATACATTAAATTTCACTAATTAACTTGAGCTTTTTGTCTCAATGAGCATAGAATTCTGAAAATATTAACTGTTTTACTATAATATTATAGTATTATTTATCTATACAATAATATTATTGTATTATTTATTTATTTAGTCATATTTATCAAATAACAGTTATTGAGTTTTGTTTGTTTATGTGTAGAACATAGGCCTACATAGATTCAGTGTGCAGGTGTTACAGATGCTATTCAATCTCTCCATATTTCAGTGTCAGACAGGAAGAATTGAACAATTTGCAATCCAACAAACTTTTATTAAACATGTATTTATTAAACAAAACTGCAACTGTTTTAAAAACTGATTTATATTTACACTTTTTTCTGGCTCCTGCTTTGGGATGTGGCCGGATAGCTTTAGGTGAGAAGTTTTCTGTACCCATCCCAGAGGTTGATGGTCTTTATGGGAGATGCACAGAAGGAAGGTGGCCCTGTTGGAGGAGGCACAGCGGAAGGTGGCTCTGTAGGAGGAGGTAGCCCTGTTGGAGGAGGTACAGTGGAAGGTGGCCCTGTCGGAGGAGGCACAGCGGAAGATGGCTCCGTCGGAGAGGGTAGCCCTGTTGGAATAGGCACAGCAGGAGGAGGCCCTGTTGGAGGAGGCACAGCGGAAGATGGCCCTGTTGGAGAAGGTGTTTTACTATGGTAAAGTACTATGGAAGGTGTTGGAATAGGCACAGCAGGAGGAGGCCCTGTTGGAGGAGGTACAGTGGAAGGTGGCCCTGTCGGAGGAGGCACAGCGGAAGGTGGCTCTGTAGGAGGAGGCACAGTGGAAGGTGGCCCTGTCGGAGGAGGCACAGCGGAAGATGGCTCCGTCGGAGAGGGTAGCTCTGTTGGAATAGGCACAGCAGGAGGTAGCCCTGTCGGAGGAGGCACAGCGGAAGATGGCTCTGTCGGAGAGGGTAGCCCTGTTGGAATAGGCAAAGCAGGAGGAGGCCCTGTCGGAGGAGGCACAGCGGAAGATGGCTCCGTCGGAGAAGGTAGCTCTGTTGGAATAGGCAAAGCAGGAGGTAGCCCTGTCGGAGGAGGCACAGCGGAAGATGGCTCTGTCGGAGAGGGTAGCCCTGTTGGAATAGGCAAAGCAGGAGGAGGCCCTGTCGGAGGAGGCACAGCGGAAGATGGCTCCGTCGGAGAAGGTAGCCCTGTTGGAATAGGCACAGCAGGAGGAGGCCCTGTCGGAGGTGGCACAGCGGAAGATGGCTCCGTCGGAGAGGGTAGCTCTGTTGGAATAGGCACAGCAGGAGGTAGCCCTGTCGGAGGAGGCACAGCGGAAGATGGCTCTGTCGGAGAGGGTAGCCCTGTTGGAATAGGCAAAGCAGGAGGAGGCCCTGTCGGAGGAGGCACAGCGGAAGATGGCTCCGTCGGAGAAGGTAGCCCTGTTGGAATAGGCACAGCAGGAGGAGGCCCTGTCGGAGGAGGCACAGCGGAAGATGGCTCCGTCGGAGAGGGTAGCCCTGTTGGAATAGGCAAAGCAGGAGGAGGCCCTGTCGGAGGAGGCACAGCGGAAGATGGCTCCGTCGGAGAAGGTAGCCCTGTTGGAATAGGCAAAGCAGGAGGAGGCCCTGTCGGAGGAGGCACAGCGGAAGATGGCTCCGTCGGAGAAGGTAGCCCTGTTGGAATAGGCACAGCAGGAGGAGGCCCTGTCGGAGGAGGCACAGCGGAAGATGGCTCTGTCGGAGAGGGTAGCCCTGTTGGAATAGGCAAAGCAGGAGGAGGCCCTGTCGGAGGAGGCACAGCGGAAGATGGCTCCGTAGGAGAGGGTAGCCCTGTTGGAATAGGCACAGCAGGAGGAGGCCCTGTCGGAGGAGGCACAGCGGAAGGTGGCTCTGTAGGAGGAGGTACAGTGGAAGGTGACCCTGTCAGAGGAGGCACAGCGGAAGATGGCTCCGTCCGAGAGGGTAGCCCTGTTGGAATAGGCAAAGCAGGAGGAGGCCCTGTCGAAGGAGGCACAGCGGAAGATGGCTCTGTCGGAGAGGGTAGCCCTGTTGGAATAGGCACAGCAGGAGGATGTCCTGTCGGAGGAGGCACAGCGGAAGATGGCTCCGTCGGAGAGGGTAGCCCTGTTGGAATAGGCAAAGCAGGAGGAGGACCTGTCGGAGGAGGCACAGCGGAAGATGGCTCCGTCGGAGAAGGTAGCCCTGTTGGAATAGGCACAGCAGGAGGAGGCCCTGTCGGAGGTGGCACAGCGGAAGATGGCTCCGTCGGAGAGGGTAGCTCTGTTGGAATAGGCACAGCAGGAGGTAGCCCTGTCGGAGGAGGCACAGCGGAAGATGGCTCTGTCGGAGAGGGTAGCCCTGTTGGAATAGGCAAAGCAGGAGGAGGCCCTGTCGGAGGAGGCACAGCGGAAGATGGCTCCGTCGGAGAAGGTAGCCCTGTTGGAATAGGCACAGCAGGAGGAGGCCCTGTCGGAGGAGGCACAGCGGAAGATGGCTCCGTCGGAGAGGGTAGCCCTGTTGAAATAGGCAAAGCAGGAGGAGGCCCTGTCGGAGGAGGCACAGCGGAAGATGGCTCCGTCGGAGAAGGTAGCCCTGTTGGAATAGGCAAAGCAGGAGGAGGCCCTGTCGGAGGAGGCACAGCGGAAGATGGCTCCGTCGGAGAAGGTAGCCCTGTTGGAATAGGCACAGCAGGAGGAGGCCCTGTCGGAGGAGGCACAGCGGAAGATGGCTCTGTCGGAGAGGGTAGCCCTGTTGGAATAGGCAAAGCAGGAGGAGGCCCTGTCGGAGGAGGCACAGCGGAAGATGGCTCCGTAGGAGAGGGTAGCCCTGTTGGAATAGGCACAGCAGGAGGAGGCCCTGTCGGAGGAGGCACAGCGGAAGGTGGCTCTGTAGGAGGAGGTACAGTGGAAGGTGACCCTGTCGGAGGAGGCACAGCGGAAGATGGCTCCGTCCGAGAGGGTAGCCCTGTTGGAATAGGCAAAGCAGGAGGAGGCCCTGTCGAAGGAGGCACAGCGGAAGATGGCTCTGTCGGAGAGGGTAGCCCTGTTGGAATAGGCACAGCAGGAGGATGTCCTGTCGGAGGAGGCACAGCGGAAGGTGGCTCTGTAGGAGGAGGTACAGTGGAAGGTGACCCTGTCGGAGGAGGCACAGCGGAAGATGGCTCCGTCGGAGAGGGTAGCCCTGTTGGAATAGGCACAGCAGGAGGAGGCCCTGTCGGAGGAGGCACAGCGGAAGATGGCTCTGTCGGAGAAGGTAGCCCTGTTGGAATAGGCACAGCAGGAGGTAGCCCTGTCGGAGGAGGCACAGCGGATGTTCAAATTCACATTCCTGGAATATCTCCCCATTAAATGGCCAAATCCCTGTGCATCTAAATCCTGCCTGCCCATTTGTGGCCCTGACTATGCCTGGGATGTCGTAAATCGACATTGTTAACCCTGGATGGGTTTTCATCCAGGAGTCGCAGAATGAGTTGACGACTCTTTTAAGGGGCCCATAAACACTTTTGTCGAGTGGCTGCAGCTTGTGAGAGTGGGTTGGGGGGGGGGGGGTGAATTCAGGACAATGCCATGACTATGGCAGAATTTGATGACTTCCACAGACAGGTGCGAGGGGTGGTTGTCAAGAATTAAAAGAACTTTGGACTCTGAGGAGCTCTTCGTATGAAACTGGGAGTGCTTCAAGTATACCAGGAATTCAGCCTCTTACATCCTCCCTGATGCGTTGGCTGTCCCAATGCAGCCAGATGGGCCATCCCGGAATGAGGTTTAAAGTGCACTCGTGGGAAAATGAATATCGGTGATATGGTGTTCCCAAGTGCATTGATTCCACAGGCTAGTGTGACGAGTGTGCCTCTTTCTGCCGAGGTGGCTGGACCTACTTGCCTTTCACCACGTCTTGCCCCAACCCTTTTGGGATTTTGGACCGTCGTTATCCCTGTTTCGTCCATGTTCCACACGTTTTGTGGTTCAAACTTGTGTTTGTCCAAAACCTTGCTCAAATTGTCGAAGAAGTTGTTAACATTCGTTCGATTAAAACTGGCTGCCCTCGAAAGGCTTGTGGCTTGGGGACGCCTTATCGAGAGAGTGGGGTGCCTCTTTAGAAAGCCAGTGAACCAGTCAACACCAGCCATACTGGTCTCACTCCACTTTGAGGGAAAATAGCCGTTGTAGTGAGAGGCTAGTTGAAAGGCAAACTTCCGAACCTGAAATAAAATGTAAATATTGTCCATCTCTCTATCTTCCTCCCTCTCTCTCTCTCTGTCTTTCTCTCTCTCTTCTATAGGCTACATAATTCTCTTGTTAAAATTTGTTTTTCTCGCATATTTATCTTACCTCTTTGGGAATTAACCCATAGTATTGTGTTTGGTCGTGCGGTACATTATAATGTCTGTGTAGATGCTCTTGGTATTTTAGGATCACATGTTCGACCTTTTACCAAGAATCTGGGTGTGATTTTTGATAATGCTTTTAAATTTGATAAACAGATTAGTTCAGTTGTTAAAACTAGTTTTTTTCAGCTGAGGCTTCTGGCGAAGGTCAAGCAATACCTGCTACGCAAAGACTTTGAAAGAGTCATACATGCTTTTATTATGTCCCGTTTAGACTACTGTAATTCTTTGTATGTTGGATTGGAGCAGTCATCCCTTCGTCGGTTACAGTTAGTCCAGAATGCAGCAGCTAGACTTCTAACCGGGACTAAAAAGCGCGACCATATTTCACCAGTCTTAGCCACGCTGCACTGGCTTCCTGTTTGTTTCAGGATTGAATTTAAAATTGTACTAATGGTTTTTAAAATTTTAAATGGGTTGTCACCGTCTTATTTAACGGAGCTCTTACATTTCCATACACCTGTCAGAGCACTGAGGTCTTGTGATCAGTTGCTCCTCGATGTGCCCAGATCTAGGTTGAAGAATAAAGGTGACAGAGCCTTTGCAGTGGCTGCTCCACACCTCTGGAATAGTTTACCTATTCATGTAAGGAAAGCTCAGACCATTGTAACATTCAAGTCCTTGCTTAAGACCCATTATTATGCCTTGGCTTTCAATTCAAGTTGAGCTTTGATATCTTGACCTATTGTTGCTTATTTTTATTGTATATTGTGTATTGTTTGTGTATTTTTATTTTAGTTTATTTTTTATCTTGAATTTTGTTAAGCACTTTGGTCAATCATGGTTGTTCTTAAACGTGCTATATAAATAAAAAAGAAAAAGATAGTATAAGTCAGCTGCCCTTTTTAAATATTCTCTGAGGCTCCTCTCTTGGTCCTCTGAGAACTCTTTTCTGCTGGTCCAGTACCCTGCTCTCTCGGTAACTTATCCGATCCTTCGCCTGTAAGTTTCTCTCTTTTTTTATTCAATCGAAAAAAGGTGGTGTGACAGATGGCAAAGTGCTTGGCTACTGCCCTGACTGTCCTGCCCTCATCCCTGATTACATCTGATGCTCGTTCCAAAATATTGAGGGGAACCCCTCTGTTAGAAACCCTCTTCCTCACTCTTGGCATACTGAAAACAAACAGAATAAAACTATCCTTCTTACTATCCTTTTATGTACCCCACAATGACTTGTTTATGTTGAAAAATACTGTTGTGTGGTCTGTTTGATATGGTTGCTTAGCTTGGGGACAGTTACAACAACTTGTTGCAACCGTCCGCAACCCTATCAGCCATGACAGAACATCATGTGCTAGCTAGACACACTGACCTTGACACATGCTAACCATGTCACTTAGAAGTCAACAAAACAATAATTCAAAGTAAGTTTTGATTAATTCATACAAAAGGTCAGGACCGTATGACACAAATACAGTTCATGAAAAAAATTATTTTCATACCTCTAAAACAAGTTTTGTTCAATAAATGCAGCAGCAGATGTTAAATATATATCTTCTGTCTTCTTGGTGGGGGTAGGGTCTAACTGTGCATGTGCAGTATGAGTGTCATCACTCTAGCATGTTTCTGATTGGAGGAATAAGACTTGTTGCAACTGTCCCCATTACACTGTAACAGAGATACATTAAAATAAAGTGTAACCGAAATATCTGTTTGATGTCAGAGCTGAAGTTATTGAATGTCATTGACATGTTTAGAATGTGCCCCAGAGCAAACTTCATAGGACTAGACTTCTGTTAGGCCTAGATTAAAAACTTCTTCCCACCCTTCTGTCTCTCCTCTCTGTCTGGGTGGTCAGCTGAACTTTTGTGCTGGGTGAGTGCGTGAGGGTCAGACGGCTTGGGCTTTAAGCCCACCGAGATCCTGTTCCTGTCCAATGCTTGTACTCGTTCCCACACAGACATAAAACAAGAAGGAGAGTCGTCCCCCACCCTGACTCTGTAATCCCCTCTGACATGAAAAGAGAGGGAACAAAAAAGAAAGAACAGAACAGAACAGTTAATTGCATTTGCCTCATATCACTTTTTTGGACAACATCTCTTCTTATGCAGCGTGGCAGCCCGCAGAGATCTGGGAAGCCAATGGGATACTTCTGGAAGGAACATATGCTTGGCTCTCAATTACATTTGGTTTAAAAAGTAAAAAACTGCACTTGACATGATGGATAGAGCAAGTTCATCTACAGTACCAGTCAAAGGTTTAAACACACCTTCTCAAGTCTTTATTACTACTATTTTGCACAGTTAAGAATTACAGCAAAGTCATCTGTGAAACAAGTATACACATTAAACAGAGGCTAACTGTTTTGTTTTAAATTCTTTAATGTACCTCCTGTTACTAAACACTTGGCAATCTCTCAAAACTTCACAAGTAGCCACTTGAGATGCTTTTCCAGCAATCTTGAAGTAGTTCCCATGCATGCTGGGTGCTTAATTGTTTTCCCTTCACTCTCTGGCCCATTTTTTTCCTTTTTAATTAAAATGTTTGTTTCATAAATAAATTCATACAAAAGCACAATTTATATTTGTCAACAAAACTAAAGGGGTTTAAGATCATAATAAAGGTTAAACAGTTGAGTGTCTAAACTTTTGACTAATAGGTTACCATCTTGATTCTCCATTTGTGCAAGAGGGTCAGAGCAGACTGAATTGTAAAAAAGCTTTTGGTTTAATTTTGTTTGGTTTAATTTGCTGTAATGTTAATGAATACCATTCTTATTAAGAGGTTGTTGTTGTATTTTTCCATTTGACCCATTTCAGAGGAAGTGTGCATAATGAGAGCAGTCCATCAAATCTGTGCTGCAGAATTAGAGGATATCTGGAAAACAAAAGCTGTGAGTGTGACATGATCTCCTTGTTTACTATGAGCTTTCGCTTCCTCTTTCAGGAGTGCTGACTCAAATGTTTTTTTTAAGTTGACTAGCATGGCAGGAGAACACAAACCTTGAGCGACCTCTGTGATATCCTCCACTCGCTTCCCTTTTCCCCCTCGTCCTCTGTTTTTCACTTGCTTACACATACAGCATCTCCTGACGTTTACAGTCTTGCTTTACCATTCCATGCCCCTAAACAGCTCAGCGGCAAATCAAGCCAAGGTCAACTGAGGTCAGGGAAAGTGAATCTCTCCAAAGACTGATGCAGGACAGTGGAACTTGTGCACTGCAGTAGAGCTGCTTTAATTAGCATCTTCATCTTAACACGCAGAGCATCATATAAGTGTAACTAAACTAATACGTCAAATAACTTTCTATCAGGACCATTTTTCACCTTTTAATTATTAAATACCAAATGACTGAAACATTTTGTTTTGTCTTATGTACCCCAAAGATTCAGAATGCTCAAGTGATTGACATCAAACCAGAAATGTTACTCTTGCATTTTCGCTAATTTTATTAGTGTCTCTTAAATTAAAACAATTGATATGGGTGAAAAGACTTGCCAAATAGCTTCCTCTTCCTTTAATGAACTTATTTGTCTATAACAACTTTTGAAAGGCTCTCTGTGATTGTTACCAGAATTATAATTATTATAATTGTTTTGTATTAACATTATTGACTTTAGCAAGTATTATTTATTTTATTATTTTATTGTATTATAATTATTATTGACATTTGACATGATTGCTATCAGAATTTGTATCATTATTATTAATGATTAATATATATAACCACTTTGAAATGATAAGGTTATGCATTTTGATCAGTTTTGAGATGTTGAGCTTCAAAGTTTTTGCATTCCATTCGACTTTGTAGAACCTTTTTGTTTTCTAAATAAAATATCCCAAAATGTACACAACTTTTTAAAAAAAACATCACATAATGTAAATAAGTTGTCACAGAATAAGAATATCTGAATAACTCAATTTTGACAAAAATGTCAAATAGAATCGTATAATTCCAAGGCGATGATTTATTTATTTTTAAACAACTAAGTCATAATTTCTGTTTTAAATCTTTACAAGCACCCCTGGTTGTTCCCTACCTGTTGTTAATGCAGTCACACGGTTATATCTATGTTAGTTCTTTCAGAACCACAAACAGTGAACTGCATGACTTCAACTATTCCTCGAATCTGACTTGAGGGTCAGTTACACCCCCCTGACAACCCTAGCCTGACAAAACCAGTCTGAACCAGGTGAGAGTGGCTTGGCAGAGAGAAAGCAGAACAGGACAGCTTATGCTGAAATACTTCTGCAGGGATTACCACACAGCTACAGGACTGTATGTGTGTGAGAACCAGTGCTTGGTAAGACATAAGAGAGGTGTTGGGTAATTAGAATGGAAAACTGTGGTGGGGGGTTGATGTGCAGTGCCAAGCAGGTGTGCAATATTACCTGACACCTACAGAGGGCTGATGTTATAAAGTTGATGCACAATGTCTGTACATTGCAAACTGAAGTTTCACACACACATTTAGAATTGCTAACATGTGCTCTATGATAGGTATCAAGACATCTTGGTAACGACTGAATGCCGAAATGGAAATGCAACATCCTCAGAAACAGATCAATAGCACAGGAAGCACATATGGTACTAATTGAAAGCTTAGAAATTACACTTTCTTTCAAATTAAGCAGTGAAATGTATTAATATTATTATTAACTGTATAGGCCCCATGACATGCAACATTATTTGCATGACATTCCTGAATAGGAAAATATAAATGTCTCTCGAGTTTTGGTTGTATTATGCTCTCGGTCCACAGAAATGGGTTAAGACTAAATGTTTGTCTCATTGTCTACAACTATATTTAACGGCCTGTGTCAGTTTCTTAGGATCATGATTTGAGAATGAGGGCATGCCTCTCTTTCAAAAATGTATATTTATTTGACAAAACTACGCACGAGTTCATTAATGGTTAGAAGTTATTTTTTTGCTTTTTGCAATGAAGATATTTGTTTTCTCTCATAATATAACCTTAGTTTTAACTAACTATTTTTAACGAATCATAGAAGGAGATCTATTTAGGGAACATGGCCCCTTTCTTGATTTAAAAAAATATATTTAAAAACTTTTTGAACTAGGGTAGTTCATCTTAAAAGTAAACATGACTAATGACTCATGACTTCAGAAGCCTCCCCCTGGATCTGACTGTGAAAATTAAAGAAAACAACCTTCAGAATTACAATATCCTTAAAGACTCAAAAGTCCAATCACTTGCACACACATTTCAGGCCAAAAACAAACAAACAAAAAAACACTTTTTTTTTTGTACAAGCATTTAATCATGTTGAGTTATTGTTCAACAGTACCTTGTTTTGTTGCATCAACATGTCGGTTCATATTTAGGTGTTATATGACACTGGCATTAAGCAAAATTCCCCATCTGAATAAGCATTCAGGGCACTCACTTTACAGCGAAGGCTCCGAGAGAGGTTGAGCTGCTGATCAGAAACCAGTATGACTTTGTTTTTGTAGCGGGTCATGTTTGGATTCTAGCAGGGAGAGACTGGTCCCCGACCAGCAGTCGTGGGAAACCTCTATGGCTGTGCAGAAACACACAAACACCCGCACACACAAACACTATAATCCCACTATAATACACACACAGAGAGGCAACAAGTGCTGTTTCAGTACATTTCAGTCTGTCTTCTTTACCATCTACATGCTGCCAACGAGACACACACACATCTGTTTTACAAACAAAAACGGCCTAAAACATACAAACACGATAAAACAAAACATTTTACTGCCGCCCCCACGGCAAATGTGCTGGGATTCAGTTCTTTTTCAACCTTTGTGAAGACAGTCATTTGAGAGGAAGGATTTATCCAATCAAGCATTCAGTTGTTTATTAAATGTAAAATTTTGATTCGATATAACAGTCAATCTGTTAAAACAATTAAGATTAAATGGGGGCATGGGAAAGACTTTCCACAAACAAAATGCAGACATACGCAGCTGACAACCCTCTCGTACAATCTTCTAAACCTTTCCCAATTGTTTCCTGAGCCAGCTTGATCACTTGAAGAAAAAAAAAGAAGAAAAAAAATAGTAAGAAAAACGAAATTTAACGGCATGGGGCTGGTTATGGATCTGTCAGTCGGCCAAGCATCTACACATTCTCCCTTTTCACATTCCCAGTCCTTTGGTTCCCCAGTTCAACTGTCCTCTAATTCCATATCCGCTCCAAAAACCT